GCCCCGCGCAACCCGTGGACAATGGGAGTGAGCGATCCAGAGGCCCAGGATGCCTTTCAGTATAGCCGCCAGCAGCTCAGCCCGCCCCCACCCCACCTGGCTCAGCCCTCCTGGCCTCAAGTCCAGCTCTCCTCAGCCAGAATGTCCAGTCCAGCATCGAAGACCTCCCCAGGACTTTCACCTCTTCAAAGCTGTCACCCACTTCTCCCAGCCCTCATTGCCTCCCATCAGAGAACCAAAAGGGTGTTTGTGGGTTCCCTAGAGAAGCCCCCCTCCCTCTACTGGGAACATTTTCATACAGGTGAAATCAGATTAGGATAAAACACAAGAGCACCCTTCAAAGAAAATCATCAAAGAGGGCAAACTATGTAGGGGAGGGGGCAGTAGGGCAGGGGCTTTGCCTTGGTGAAGGAAGGGGACTGATCGGCAGCCGGTATGTCTATTGGGTCCAGGGTATTCTTTCAGAACAGCTGGGGGTCACCCTCCAGCTGGCCAGCACAGTGCCCAGCACAAATCAAGCTTCAATGCAAATTTGCTGAATGAATGAATGTTCCCAGGCCTGGTGCACTCCCCACAGCACCTTTTTCCCAGGGCGGATTCTCCATGAGGGGTGAGACCAGAGACTTGGTAAAAGCCCCAGGGACAGGGTGGAAGTGGTATGGCCCTGTCCCTCACCAACAAGGGGGCTGGGAGGAGGGAGCCAAAGCTGGGGCCTTGAACACAGAGATGGAGCAACCAACCTGGGACCCTCTCTCTAGTCAGGCCTGGCATGGCAGCCAAGCCAAGTCACCGCCTTCCACCCCCCCACTCCAGCCTCTGTTTAAACAAGCTTTGTTGCATGGAAACAAACGCCTGCTCTTGTTCCAAAGTGACGTGGACGCCCTCTTCAGCACTGTTTGTTTCGGCCTAAAGTCCCGTCACAGGCCTGACTTCTGACTCGCCCTGTTTATCTCCCTCTCCTCTGTCAACTCATTACTCCCAAATGCCAGGATTGCATTTCCAGGCTTGTTTACCCAGAGCAGAGAGACAGGGACCAACAGACAGACAGATGGAGGAAGAAGGGTTTGGAGACCCAAGCAGGGCACAGGAAGGAGGACAGGGCCACGGCATAGTCAGCAGACCCACTCACAAACCCTTTCCCCTAGAGGTCACAGTTGGCGCTAGAGTGGCTACTTAGAGCCAGTGGGGTATTTTTTGGTATAAGGAACCCTTTTAGGCTAAGAATGGAGTGCCCTCATTCACTTATCAAAAGGCATTTATTTAGCACCTATTATGTTTGACACCTTGCTCCTTCCGTCTCCTACAGGGGACTGCATGGGTGTCACAGGGGCAAAAAGAGGGTGCTCTGAGCCCTGAACTAGCACTGGAGAGACCAGAGGTCCACCTGCAGCCTTTATTATGTCACCTGGACAAGTCTGTGCCTACCTCTGGGCTGCCTCCTCATCTCTGAAATGGGAATAGTAATATCAGCCTCCCAGGGAGGGAAGGAGCCCTGGTGGCGCAACAGTTAAGTGCTCATCTGCTAACCAAAAGGTTGGTGGTTCAAACCACCCAGCAGCTCCACGAGAGAAAGACCTAGACATCTGCTCCCGTAAAGATTAAAAACCAAACCCACTGCCATTGAGTTGATCCTAACTCATAGCGAACCTGTAGGACAGAGTAGAACTTCCCCATAGGGTTTCCAAGAAGCATCTGGTGGATTCAAACTGCCAATCTTTTGGCTAGCAGCCGAACTCTTATCCACTATGCCACCAGGGTTGAAAACCCTACTCTGTCACATGGGGTCGCTGTGAGTCAGAATCGACCCAAAGGCATCCAACAACAACCATCACCACCCAGGGATGGGAGGTGATTAAATAACACAGGGTATGTGAAAAAAAGATCCGAACTACCAAACAGATGCAAGGTATTTGTTTATCCTCCAAGGACTTCCTGGTGGTGGCTGAGGTTGAGGGAGGAGAAACTCGAGGGGCCAGGCTCTCTTTCTTATAGTTGTGTTACCCCATGGATAGTCAGGAACATTTGTTGTTGGGGTACCAGAAATGCTACTCCTAAAGCTCCCCCCTCAAAGCCTCGTTCATATATTGAGTGGTGGAGGGATAGCCCACAGATGGTTTCATTTTAATTAAAATTTTGTAATTTTAATTTTGCAGGGTTCTTTTCATAGTTTGAAGCCAACAAAACCTTTTTTAAGTCTCAAATATTTTCCTTGGCCCTAGGCACTATGCCCATAGTGAGCCCAAATGGATAAAACAGCCCTCTGCCTGCCTCCCAATCCCCACCCCAGGCTCTTTGTAAAACAGATATAGGATTTTCCAGGACTTTGGGATATTCCCCAAAACAAACAGAAATAATGGGAACTTGGAATATAGATGGTAAAACATGGCTGGTGTGCAATGAAGAAGGAAGAAACCTGATCGGTACAGACAGTTCTCTCTCCCCACCCTAATCATCTCCCCAGTTTTCCAGATATCTATGTCTACTCTTGAAATAATTTTTTAAAAGAAACTCCCCAGTTTTGGTATTCTGCCCTGTTGTTGTAGGGTGCCGTGGAGCCAATTCCCACTCCTAGCTACCCCGTGTGATAGAGCAGAACTGCCCCACAGGGTTTTCTAGGCTGTAATCTTTACAGAAGCAGATCACCAGGTCTTTCTCCCATGGAGTGGCTGGGTAGGTTTGAACCACCAACCTTTCGGTTAGCAGCTGAGTCTTTAACCATTGCACCATTAGGGCTCCTTTACTACATTCAAAAATTTTCATACCTTTGCTTCCTAGAGGTGCGGGAGGAGAAGTGCTGGCCTTACAAAATGAGTGGACTTGGGGACTTTTGGTGATGTGTATTTTGTTATTATTTTGATAAAGGGTGGAATTTTGCCCTTGACCTTCTGTCCTCAGCACAGATCTGTAGGTCTTCCCCAGAGAACCTGCTTAAGGATGGCTTGGAAGATGCTGATAAACTCCCAAGGACCATCTCCCTGGAGGAATTAGACCCTTCTTGCTCCAGTCTCCACTGTTTCCAAGAGGAAGTGATTTTTAAAGTTCTCAATTCGGTTCATGTCCACACTGTGTCTAACCAGTATGTAGAGAGATTTCACACTTAAAATCTCATCTGATCCTAACAACCCTGTTCTTTAGGCGTCAAGAAGGCCAAGACTCAGGGAGGCCCGTAACTTCTTGGCCAAGGTAGCAGCCCTGGTAAGAGGCTGGCTGGGATTTTGCTCAGGTTTTTTCAATTCCTGCTTTAGTGCTGGCTGACCAGCTCAGTGCAGGGGTGCAGGGTTTCTGACGGTGCTACCTCCAGCCTGACCTCTGGCTCCTTGCTAAGGGCCCGTTAGGGGTTATAGAGTGGTAGCAGGACTGGAGGTGGGGATATCGAGGGTGCTGGGGAAAGAGCAGTGCTGTTGGGGAGGCATGAGGACAATATGACTACACACAGCTGTGCACACAAGACAAAGGAGTGGGGGCACCAGGCGGGGAGGCACATGCAAGACCCTGCTTTTCCGCATTCCCAGCAAAGCCCCCAGGGGCCAGTGCCATCAGCAGTGATTGGAGGAGCAGAGTCAAATAAGAGAAGGAGAATCCTAAGGCCAGGGCTGGCTGGGCCCGTTCTCCTAAACTTGTCAAGCATGATTCTCCCTTTTCCCCCGGGGTGGGACCGGGACCTGGGGCCCCTGCTCTGTCATCACCAAATCAGGCTCCCCACCCTAGTGTCTTTCACTCCCTAGAACTCCTGAACTCTGCAGTTCAGGGTGGGGATGATGGGGGTGGAAGAAGGCAAGGGGACCCAGATAGTCCTACCCCTGCCTACCTCCCTTGGCCTTTTCCCAGCTGCTTTGGCCCCTGGTGCCTGAAAGTAATGCCTTCACAGCTTGCCTCAAAGGTCCAAGCAGAGATGCAGGAGGCAATATTTTATAATACAAATAAAGTGAAGATACCCTTGAGTGCACAGTGATCACCCCCCCCACCCCCACGCACACACACATAAAGCAGAGCCTCTTTTCCACCCCAGAAACTTACTAGCCAGAGTGTTTGTCTGAAGCACAGGCACCCACCCCAAGAAGAACACCCTAAAGTGAGTAATCCTGGGGTAAGGGCTGACCCAGCATCTGTCTGTCCTTGTCGGCATTTCTGGAGCTGTTCCAAGCTCCTGGATCTCAGGCCCTCGAGTCCCAGTTCTGTCTCTTGGGGACGCTGTGCTGCCCTGGCCTCAAGGTGGCCACTGGAATGCGGAGAGCACAGAAGGGGTCCCTGGAGACTGGACCTTCTCAGGAATGTTAAAGTGAGGCTGCTTTGTGGAGTAGTGGCGCCCCAGGGGCCAGGCCGCAGTGTGACTTGGCCTGGCATGCCCCTCTCCCCCTCCCCAGACGCAGTGAGGGGCGCAGCTCCTACCTGTTGCTGCTGGAAGTGCAGCAGCTCCGCAGGGCTCAGCTCGCCGTTGCTGTCTGCGCCGCCGCCGGCAGCCGTGTCCCTGCCCGCACCGCCTCCGGCCGTGCTTGTGGCCCCGGCCCCACCACCACTGCCACCTCCATCAGCTTGCCCGGAGAGGCTCCCCACGCCGTTCTGACCGGACGGAGCCGACCTGATTGTCTCTGAGGCGGATTCCACCATCATGTCGCTCTAGCGGGACCTGGAAGGGGGAGGAGAGACACGGGGGAGGGGCTGAGGCTTGAGGCTGGACGGGCAGGGCTGGGTGCACCCAGGACAGCAACCGATGTCCCTCAACCACCACCTCCCCCCCACCCCCCCAACAACACAATCACTACCACTGAATCCCCACCGCTCCTGGGGCGTCTCCTCCTCCTCAACTTCCCAGAGGCCACTCCTGGGATCCCTTGTGGGGTGTGTCCCAATGTCACCCTTCCTAGGACCAGGTAAGGGGCAGCTCCAGACTGAAGCTGAGGCCACCCCAACATTCCCTCCCCCACCTTCCACCATATTTCCTCTACTTCTAAGAGACCCCAGACGAGGGGAGGGCAGGAGGAGACGACCCTCGGAATCCTAAACCTGTTCTAGCCTTGCCCTCCAGGTCTGGGGTTAGAGAGGGTGGCTTGAGCCACGGAAGGGGTAGGGAAGGGGTCCTGCAAGGACTTAAAGGCAGATGAGCTATTCCCTAGAGACCTACCATATTGTCGTGTCCTCCCGCACCCCCCCCCCTTAGGGCCTTTGTGTTTGTTCCCATCTAGTTAAGGAGTTCCCCCAGGGCTGGAGCTCCTCATAGGCTCTCTTTCCCCAGGATACAGAAAGGCTGTAATCAACATTTGTTCCACAGCGTAAGTGGCCACCATTACCAAGCACCTAATGGAAGCCAGACACAGCTGGGCAAGGAGATGTGCAACGAGGGCGGCCCTGATCTGGCTTCTCTGACCTCCCATTCTAAAGCCCTCAGCCCAGGGCCTGGCCCAGAGTAGACTCTCAATAAATACTTACTCACTGTCTTTACAGGCACTATAATTCCTCCTAACAACCACTGATAGTTATTATCACCCCGATTTTACAGATGGAAAAAACTGAGGGTCCAGAGAATTAGTTGATTTACCCAAGGCAAAGCTTCAAGCCCTGAATTCTCCCGACTTTTGGGGGGAAGGAGTTGTTACTAGACAGCACTGCCTCTCAAGGAGTGGCTAAAACATTCCTAGAAAAAGAGAGGGTATGTTTGGGGCAGTCAAGGGCAGTGAGGAGGAGGTGGACTGAGCTTTCTTCACAGCTCATGGAAGTTCTAATATCTCAGGGGCTTGCACACACAGACTGTGATGAAGATAGGGGGGCTTTAGTATGCAGAGCTGTTCTGAAATTCTGGGGTGTCCCCAACTACCCCAGAGCCCTAGACTCTTGAGTCAAACAGGACACAGTTGATGTCCACCACTGAACTTCAACGTGTTTCTTAAATCCCTAAACCTCAGCTTCCATGTCTGTAGAACAGAGGTCATTAGTTCCAGCCTCACAGAATGCTATAAGGGGCAAATCAAACAGCATGTGCAAAGCACCAGAAGCACCAGACAGCTATTGTTGGGTGCCGTCGAGTAGATTCCAACTCACAGAGACCCTGTATGGCAGAGTAGAACTGCCCCATAGGATTTCCTAGGCTGTAATCTTTATGAAAGCAGATTGCAAGGTCTCTTCTCCCTCGGAATGACTGGTGGGTTCAAACCGCTGACCTTTCGGTTAGCAGCCACTGGTGGTGCAATGGTTAAGCACCAGAAAGAGTAAGCCCCAATAATCAGCCCTTTTCTCACCTGCCCTCATTGTAGAAATAAGACCGTGGGGCCCAGAGAGGTCAAGGGCTTTGTCCAGATCACACAGAGACCATCAAGGGGCAAAGTCACACCCAGCATCTAGCAAGGCTATGGAAGCTAGCCCAGTGCTCCCTCCTCCCATCTTGATTCCCTTTTACCCTAGGCAGACCCCACGATCACAGGGTCTCCTGACCCCACATGCGGATGTGGATAGGTGCTGTGCAGGGAGGAAATGAGAGAAACTGAGGGAAGAGACTGGATGACTTCCCTAGTTCCCTCCCCAAGGCAGCAGCTCCTCAGAGCATCTTCTCTGCTTACTTTCCAATTCTTTTCTTTCATTCCAGAGAACTCTTTCCCTCACTCTGCTGTGCCACTTGCCCTGTTTCTATCCACGCTGGTAGCAGAGAGGGGAAGGGTGTGAGGTGTGGGGAGGGGGCAAAGGGCTGCGCAGGGTGGGAGGTCCATGGGGAGTCCTGGGTTCACATGTGTGCCATGCCACTGCTTCTGTGCCCCCTCATCTGTGACACTGGTATCCCTGTCCCAGGTGGGCTGTGAGGCCTCCTGGGTGCCTCTGTGCTACTGGAATGTCCCATGTTGTCCGTTCCCAAGGGCCTGCTCCCCTGACCCCCTCTGCGGCACTCCCACTCCTGGATTCTGAGAGGAGCTGGCTAGGGGTAGGGGTGAGGATGGAGGCAATGGTTCAGAAGAGATTGAGCACTTGGTCTCAGGCCTTAATGGCTGTGTCAGCCTGAGGGCCAGTGGCCGAAACATGATGGATGGGGCAGACGCCATCCTCCGCCCACCAGAGAACAAGGTTCCAGCCCCGCTGCCCAACCTCCCACCCAGGAACCCTCCCAGCAGCCTACAAGGCCAGGAGCACCTTCCCCCACTCAGGTCTGGGCCTCAGCTACCTGAGGGGGATGCGGAGACAGCAGGGACCCAACCCGGCCTCCTTCTCCCCGAACCCTGGCCCTGCTGGGGATGGCGAGCAGCTGCCCGCCCTGATTTCAAGTTCTCAAGTTCTCTCAGATCTGAGAACTCCTGGGCCCCAGGGGACAAAGACCAGAGGTTCAAGGGCGTGTACAGGCGAAAGGAAACAGAATCCAGCAGTCACCAGCCTGGGGTAAGGCAGAGTGCTCCCTTCCAAGACTCCAGCAGGCACCATAAAGTTATAGATCATAGAGTTAAGTTTGGAGAAAGGGAGAAAAAGGGAAGGAGGATGCAAACAGAGATGTCCCTTTCTTTTCTGTCTTTTTATTGGCAGGGGGGGTACAGAGCGATACCCAGTGAACAACATAATTGCTGCAATGTAGTGTGTAATAATAGCTATTCAAGGGCCGATCATTCATATTAAACAGGGTGAAGAAAGCCTCTCATTTGCATGCTTGAGATTATATGCATTTGAAAAGTCATTTCCGCAGGGTGTATGAATGGCATTAATTCCCCTGTGGCATGCTCTGCCCCCTCCCAGGGCCTTTGCTCTGATGACACACACCCATTCTCCTCCTTCTGTGCTCCCACCCACTCACCTTCCATGCTCCCCCAAACCTGCATGGCAGGTGCTCCCAGGTGATCTCCCCGCCCTCAGCTCAGCCTTGGGAGACCCGTCCTTCAAAGATGAGAATATGGACAGCCTCCCGCCTCTTGTCTGCCTCTCCATGGGGTGTTGCAATGGCACTGGGGTCTTCCCTGTACTGGGGGTGAATAGGCTCTGGGAGCCTGGGGCCCAGCTAGCTAGGGACAGGATGGGGGAGGCAGGCCTTGATATCAGTGCCCTGTAACTACAAGGGCATGGCGGAGGCGGTGCGGGGTGGTGAGGGAGAAAGCTGTGACTCTGGAGAGAAGGTAGGGGCCTGGGCACCCACCACGTGGTCTGTTTGGGTCCTAGCCTTGGCTCAGGCACAAACCAGCTGTGAATCCTTTGCTTCCTTCTTCTCTGTACCTCAATTTCCCCATCTCTACATGGAAAGGTAGTCTTGAAGGTCTCTTTTGGCTTGGGACCTCCCGCAGTCAAAATCCCTAATCTAGTATGTGGATAGGAAGCCACAGTGTTCTAGTGGATGGTGGGAGCCACTGAAGGTTCATTTGAGTCATAGCCTTGGCCCCTTTCCCAACCCAGGCCTGAGCCACCTGCTCTGGTACTGGGAGTGCTCCCTCATGGTCCTTCTGCATCTCTCCACACACCCCCACCCTCCAGCCCACACTCCTCCCCCAGTCATCTACTTCCTCAGCAAAGAGCAGCTGAGCAACTGTAGAAGAGAAGGGGAGAGAAGATCTGAGAATTAGGCCATCTGGTTTCAAGGCCCAGCTAGGTGACCTTGGGCAAGTCACTGTCCCTTGCCCAAGTCACTGGGCTGTCCTTTCTTCCTCCGTAAAACAAATAAGGAGGTGGGGATCAGGCCTTTTCAAGATTCACTAAAACTAGGGCTCTCATCCCCACTCCAGCCTTCCTAGATACCCCTCCTACCATGTGTTTGTGGGTGGGGGGCTCGACCCTCTGGGCTGCACTTGGGCAGGTTCTGGTCTCCCATCCCTTCGGGTTCCCCTTGGGGGAGCCAGGGCACCTCTTTCTGCCAGGCCCCGGGGCTCCAGCAGACGCCGTCAGAAGGAAGGAAGCTGGGTCAAAGCCGCAGCCGCCTCTTCCGCTCTGGGAGAGTCTGCGGGTCGCTGGGGGCTCCCACTTCCCCTCGAGGCTCCCGGCCCTTCGAAGAACCCGGGCGGGAGCGCAACGAGGGACTCCCTCGGAACTCGCCCGGCCCGCTCCGTCCCCTCCCCGAACGGAAATGAATTGATCCACCAACCCTGGGGCCAACCGGGGACCCTAAGGGCTGGGGTGCTTGTGGGGGAGGGGAAACGAGACCGGGAGCCCCACACGCGGAGAAACCTTTTGTGCCTTTTCGTGAGCCCATATGGTGTAGGGAGTATTAATTACCGTAGCTTTTTAATTAACAATCGCTTAATCTGAGCCGTAACATTTGCCACGACACCCTGTGCCTTGCCGCGAACCGGCGCCGCCCGCCCTGCCAACTCATCAATTAATTTTTATTGACGTTTTCTTCCCCAAACAGGCACAATACCAGGGTTTTCCAATTAACACCTCTGCGATCTCTAATTAGTGCAATTAACAGACTGACGGATGCCCAGAGTTTACCCTCAAGGGAGAGAGGGAGGGAGGGGGCGGGGCAGCCCCCCCCCAGCGCGTTCTCGGGACGCGCGTCCCGCAGGGCGCACACGTGCACGCGCAACTGAAGAGAGGGAGCCCCCCCATCAACACCAGCTCATAAAGGAGCACGCGGTGGGGGCGTGACCACAGTCAACCCGTACCCGGAGCTATGGTGGTGGTGGTGATAGTTGGAGTGGAAATAAGATACGTTTCCA